GGATAGCTGTACTAGAGATCTCCAAAGAAAGGACAATTCACATAAATATAGAGGAAACATTCATCTTATTGCCTGAAAGGGTGCACACATAAAAAAAACAGTCAAGCTGCATTTCTTTGAATATACCATCACAAGAATGAAGGGTGGAAAGTTTTAAGGTAATTTCATTCATGATTTGAACGATTTGCTCAAACTGTGGACCTGTCCATGCAGACAGATGGTGCACACACATTCTCCTCCACCCCTAGTCACACAGGATCACATTGAAGAGCAGTGGCTGCTGTACAAAAAAGGGGGGGTGTCTTCATTCTCCAGGGTTCTTTTTAACAAGGCCCTTTTAACCAATCTGCTCCGAAACTATTGCCAGGAAGCAATCCGTGAACTTGAATAAAGCTTTTTAAAACCCTCCTACATTTTGCAGGTCATTCCCTTTCAGAGGAAAGACTGGTAGCAACTGGGGGGGGGGGGGGTTTCCTTCCCCTGCTGTTGTTTTGTATGAGATCTCTCCCCACCACCACTCACACACAACCTTTTCCTCTGCCTCCTTTTCCCTTCCCACCCTCCAAAATGCTACAAAGGTTAACATATGCAAACAGAAAACTGCCTGCAACAACTTTTTTGCTGTTCGGAGCTTGTGTTCACATCATGCCCTAGACAGGTTTTTTGTTTGCTTGCTTGCTTGGATTGTTTTTCATTTCTGTAATCCCAGTCCCACTGCATTGTTTGCAAGATGCCGTATGTGATGTTAACGGCATTGTTTTTAGAATTTGTAATCCGCCTTGAGCCACTGCAAGAAAGGCAGGCTATAAATGAAGTTGGGGTTTTTTTTAAATGGGTGCCTTCCCAGATTAGTATCTTGAAAGCCAGTTTGGTGTAATGGTTAGGAGTGTGGACTCTAATCTGGGAGAGCTAGGTTTGATTCCCCACTCCTCCACATGCAGCTGCTGGCATGACCTTGGATCAGTCATAAATTATTTTAGAGCTGTTTTCTCAGGAGCAGTTTTCGAAAGAGCTCTCTCAGCCCCACCTACCTCAAAGTGTGTCTGCTGTGTGAAGAGGAAGAGAAAGGAGATTGTAAGCCGCTCTGAGACTCCTTTGGGTATAAATCCAATCTCCTCTTCTCTTCTTCTTTTCAGAACTAATCATGTCTACCTTTTGCTCCAATCTGCCACATGAGCCCCTTTTAATTTTTACTTGTCATGGACGTCTTTCTCTCTCATTGCTGCAGCATGTGTCCTTTTATCTTCTTAAAGCAAAAGTTGCTGTCTCAGAGGAAATCATAGAGATAATACTCAAAACAGATCAGGAACAGGGCCCTTTCCGAGTGCTTCTCCAACTGGTAAGTCCAGCTTTGTTAACCGTGCCAGGTCCGTTCTGGAGGGTTGGCAAGGGGGCTTTGTGGAAGCAAGGAGATGGCAGCCCCTGCTCCCTCCTCCAGGTTCGGGTGGCAGAGCAGCCACACCTGCCTCTAGGCCATGGTGCCCGTGGGTGCCATGGCACCTGCTGACACCTTTCCCGGGGCCTGCTAAGTGTTTTTAGGAAGTGGGCGGGGCCAGCTGGGGCCTCTGCCCAGCAAGACTGACCACCAGAGATTGCTTTGACAAGAGCACAGCTCTAGGGTCTTCACTGTGTGAGTGGAGGTAAGCTGTGGCAGCCATTTCCTGTCTGGCTCTGCCTCCTGCGGAAGCAATTTTATGGCTGCACTCACCACACTGTGTCAGAATTCCAAAGCTGCCTGCAGGCTCAAAAGATTGGAGACCTCTGCTGTAGGCTACCATTTACTTATCATCCATGGCCCCAGGGCCTAAAGCATGGTTATGCTTTAATAGGACCGGGAAGGGCAAAAGGGGCCCCAGCTTAGGCTGCAGGTTCATTAACACAGTGGCATGCTCTATTTAAGTCATTTTAGAAAGGAACAGTTTTCTTTCAAGACTCATGAGATTCTGGTTATGGGACAGCATCTGTGTGGTGGCGGTGAGGGTGGATTTAACAAATCTGTACTTGGTCCAGAGAAATGATGTTTGGGACCTGCACAACACACCTGTTGAAGGTTAATTACTAGGATTGGATGTTGTATGGCCACGACATGGCTATGACAGAAGCAGAACCATTCTAGGTTATCCAGGGGCCTTTCCCCTCCCCACATACACACACTTCAACTTCTGATTTACCCTTAGTCCATTTTAGCCAGGAGCAGACTCCCTTTCAACTAAGCACGGGGAAAAACCAGAAAGACATGTCATGTGACAAAGCCAGTCCCATGACCAGCTCCAGGGCCATTTTAACTTCCCAATGAGACCCACATTTGGGCTTACCAAGTTTTCCTTGGGCCAGTGATACAAGGATCCTTTTTAAAAAAGTTTTGCCATTACTAGGTTGTCTAAGATATTTTCAGGTTTTCTAAATATTTGCCCTTTCTCAGCTTTTTCTCACAATACCACACTATGTTCTACATCAGACAGAGCAATATCAGAAGAGTGAAAATTATGACTGCCATTGACGTTTCCCCTTCAATATTTTTTTCCTGCTTCCGGACTGTCTGTTCAAGGAGGAAGTCACAGCAGCAGTTCAGACAACTATCTACACAATGGAGAAGGGTTTTAACCTTGGATGTTTAAAAAAAAGACAAAAAACACACAGGGCAGAATGCCTCCGGCCTTTGATGGCTTCTAAAAACCTGATGAAAAGAAAAAACTGCTTATTTCTTATTAAGGACAAAAGAACACAGTTAATTTGCTCTTTGCCGGCTAAAAAGCCAACTGAATGGAAGAAAGCAGCAAGGCAGGGACAGGACAAGGGGACTCGAAGACACACAAGCTCAAGGCAGGAAGAAGCTGGAGCCATCTGCCCAGCTTGTACATCAGCACAGACAGAGAGTCTCGCACAACAGTCAGGCAGTTGACAGGACCAGAATTGGCTCTTTTAGCCCACCAGGCATATTAATATCACTTCTACCAGGCAGTCACAGGCCTACACCCATTAAGGCGGCTTCTGACATTTTTTCCTCCCCTCAAAAAGGAGTGCCTTCCACCCCCCAAGGTTAACAGCTGGTGTGAATGGCAGTTAGGGCATCGGACTGGGTTCTGGGAGACCCGCTGCATCTGAATCCCTATTCACTCTGTCATGAAAGCTCATTGGGTGACCTTGCACCAGGTGAGCTCTCTCTTAGCCCAGCCTACCTCACAAGGTTGTAGTGGAGATACAATGGAAGAAGGGAGATTGACATGTACCATCCCCAGCTTGTCGGAGGAACGGCAGGATTAAAGAAATGGTTCTCTAAATAAATGATCCTACAGAAGGGGAAATGCACAAAGCCTTCCCAACCAGCAGCTACCCACTGCTACCAGATCCAGATTTAGCAAGGCAGTGGGTTTTCCCCTCTCTCATTTTCCCTCAGGCTCACTGTAAGCATTCCCAACAACCTCACCTGCAGTAGCCAGTGTCCCTACTCAAACTGAATTACCACAGGAGTTCTTTGCAGTATGGAGGATGAAGAAATGAGGCACACTTGAATTGTGAAGGGAGCTGTGATTCCCACCTCCAGTTTTCCCAGCAGCTGCTTAACACTCCTAGCCCCATCTACATAAGAGCAGGAACAAACCAGAATACACAGCACCTAACTACAGGACGGACAACCTCTTGTTTTCCTTTGCCATCAAACCAGGTTTGATACCCTACTCCTCCACATGCAACTGCTGGTGTGACCTTGGGTCAGTCACAAGTTCTCTCAGAGCTGTTCTCTCAAGAGCAGTTCTCGAAAGAGCTCTCTCAGCTCCACCCACCTCACAGGGTGTCTGTTGTGAGGAGGGGAAGGGAAAGGAGATTATAAAACGCTTTGAGACGCCAAGTGAAGGGCAGGGTATAAATCCAATCTCCTCCTCCTCCTCGCAAAGATTCTACATAATTCAGGGAAGAGGTTTTTTCCCCCTCTTTAAGAGACTGGACAGAGAAGTACAGTCCAAAGGCAGAGGAAACCAGTACTGTAAAAGTAGCCAATGTGAAGAGTAGAAACAGGTACAGCAGAAGGTATCATGGACAAGATATAAGGACATTATGGAGACTGGGCATGGAAATGCCTTTGACTGTGCCTCATTTTGTATATACATTTACTTACTTTTATTTATAACCCGCCTTTCTCCCCAAAACAGCTTACATTGTTCTGTTCTCCTCCATTTTATCCTCACAACATCCCTGTGAGGTAGGTTAGGCTCACAGTGTGTCTGCCCCCAAGTGTGACAGTGTGACAGTGACCCCAAACACCCAGCAAGTTTCCATGGCAGAGTGGGGATTCTAATCTGGGTCTCCCAGCTCCTGCTCTGACCCTCTAATAGCTACAACATGTTGGCTCTCAATGATTGGCTGATAAACAATGAGGCACCAAATCGGCAGACCTGAAGGATCCCCACAAGATTTATTTTATTTATTTAGAAAAAAAAATATGCAGCCTCTCCAGAGTCCTGCTCAAAGTGGTTTACAAGTAAAACCACCATAAAAATCATCATAGGCTCCCCTTGTCTACCTGTCTGGCCTTCGGGGTGGTGGCGGTGGGGGAGTTAATCTGTTTGAAATTAAGTTTGCTTCAGAATTTTCTCACTCTAGCAAACAGGCAATCACCAGTGCAGTACAGCGAGAAAAGAGGCACATTAGGGTAATTTTGGGAGAGTGCCCTGGATTCTTGGATGGGTAGTCTCAAAAGCTCAGATCTCAGCTATGCAGTGGGCCTTCGGCAAGCAATGACCCCACAATCTAGCCTTCTTGACAGCCCTATTAGTGAGACTTAGAAAGATATTGAGAAGGAAAAGAGGATACCAGCAGTACAGCCTTGTCCACCAGGAAGGTGCAGAGGCTCATAGCAAAGATGTTTAAAAAGCAGGTGGGAACTGAAGAGTCGTATTTATTAGAGGGTGGCAGGGAGGGATCATACAGGCCAAGAATGCCAAAAGATGAGGGTTCTCAGGGTCAGGAGGCTATACAGAGGAAGACAATGGGTAAAAACTCACCCTGTTCAGGGTCTTCAAACAGAACCCCTCTTTCAATGAGCTCCGCTCTTGGCTTTCGCATTGAAATCTTTCGTTCTAAAACTGACATTAAAATTGGGGAGAAAAAGAGAGCCAGCACTCAATACAGAGAAAGTTGGAAGTTTGGGAAAAAATAAAAAAGGTCCTGTTATTTAAAAAAACTGAATTATTTTCTCTACAGACATTGTAAGCTTTAAGGGAAGAAGATCTGGATACAGATTCTGCACTGTGTTCACAATTATCTTACAGATGTGTAAGCTCTTGGTGCTGACCAGACTTGAGCATCTCATTGCTAAGAAGCCTATAATGATACTCTACAAATGGAAAAGGCAGTCAATGGTTGCTTAAAATTTATTTATTAGATAAGCAGCTGTGGCAGCTGCCATAACTCTTGGTCATGGAATCCACTGACCTCTCTCTATGTGTAACTCAGCACATCACTTTGAGCTTCCTTCTTCCTTCCCATAGCCTAGGGACAGCTGCACTAGGTTTGAGAGTACTGCTTTAGAGAGCCAGCCATAGGAAGAGTTCCCAAGTATTACTGCAGATAAGTTTTTTTAAATTCAGGTATGAGATGCACCAACTACAGAACCCAGTGGAAGTGCAGAACCACACACACACACACACAGTTTCATTCCAACAGAAAAACAATACTGCTGCCTAGCTTAGTTACCTTCTGAAGTCTCTTTGAACTTGCCACTGGTTTTCTTTTTCCTCCACTTCCAAGGTTTAAAGATCTTGCCAAAACCTGCGAATTTGCTTTTCCTCTTGGAGGGAGGAGTAGTATCGCCAGATTCCAGTGCATCGGCTCCCATCCCACCATCGCTCAGCGGATGATCCACTTCCTCGGCTACATAGAAACAGAAAAAGAGGACAGAACTACTTTACAATTAGCTGACATTTGGAAAGACCTTCCCATTCCCGAATCCAGGTCTCCCAACTGATGAGGAGGAATATTAATGTAAGAGGCAGGAAAACGCAGAGTGCAAAATTAAGTGAGACAACTCAAGAAACATTCACGTAATCAGGCCCACATTTGGTTAGTCTTAAAGGCACCACTGATTTCTGTTTTACTTTGTTACAGCACAGTAACATGGCTACTGAAATTATGAACCAGTGTTAAAAAGGGCAAAACAAAGAGAATACAAATATATAAATGCCAACATAAAGTCTTTACTAGAATCTGTGTTGCTGTACAGTCTGGTAAGATGACTTGTAGAAAGAGCCTACTGAAATTATCTGCCCCATCAGAGAAGCTGGACCATTTTGCCATTCCTTTCCCATTAAAAAAAAAAGAAAAAGTCAACAAAACACAACAATGTTCATGGCCAAGAATAACAACCTCAGGAAAGCTACACAATAACAGCCTGCTACTCCACCTACTGTTCTGGCATTCCCCAAACATTTTCAAAAAGGAAGAGCTCTCTGAAGGAAAGGGTGGTGTGTGTGGGGGGGGGGGGGTTTGCATTCCTGTTACTTAAAGCATCAACAATACAATCTACGAGGCAAATGGAAGAGAGGTATGAACAATTAGCATTAAGAAGATTTAACATCATGCCTTCACTTCTCGTGCACATTTGCACTTCTTTGCAGCCTTTGCTGCATCTGGGTTCTCCAACTGCAGACTTTAGAAAGGAAAAATTAGACAAGTGCCTTAACAGATGGCAGCACATAACTACTTCCACAAATAAAAGGATGCCAGTTTTCATATACCTTTCAGCAATGCATCTCCATACCCATTAACATCTACTTCCTTTATCTTAACATCTGCTTGATGTCCCCTCCCCCTTTTTGGTGCCCTGGGTTACAGATTTGCCAGCCCAAAACATATATTTTTACCCAGGTTTCTAAGTAAGGGGTTTTCTCTTATTAAGAAGTTTTACGGTCTGCTTCTAGCCAGAACACTGTTTTAGGGCTTTTTAAAAGCCTGCTCAGTCACTGTTTTATGCCCATGTCTTGTTTTGAATACTGATATATTATATTGGTATTTTGTATTATTTTATAGTACTGCTTTTACTTGCAAGCTTCCTCAAGCAGTTCTCTGGAGAAGCAGCACATAAACTGAACGTATGAAGCTGCAGTACACCAAGTCAGACTACTGGTCCATCAGGATCAGTCTTATCTACTCAGACTGGCAGTGGTTCTTCAGAGTCTCAGGTAGAGGTCCTTTACATTACCTACCACCTGATCTACTTAGATGGAGATGCCAGGGATTGAACCTGGGACATTTGGTGTGCTAAGCAGATCCTCTACCAATGAGTCCTTTCTCTACCCTCCCCAATTCTCTAAAAAAAGGTGTACAGAGATACAAGTATCTATGTCCAGTCATAATTAGTACAGGCCATGCATTAGATGCAATTACCATATCACAATTCCAGCTATGAGAAAACAGGTCACCTGACAACATTATGGATCAAACATGACACATGATGCTGGGAATTCCATATTCAGAATTCCCGGGTCTCCCCCCCCCCCCTTTTTAAACAGGCATGTAGGACCCCAATTCAGATCAAGACCCTAGCGAATTGGGGTAGTAATCATCCCTTTGTCCCCATACCTTTTTCCTGAGGTGGAATGGCCCTATAGAACTATCCTCTAGCAAGGCAAACCTTTTCAGTTCAATAAAATGGCATGAACAGTAAAGGGAATAAGTCACTTTCAAGCCAAAGGGTTTGAAATCCTACAGAGGCAGGAGTGCTATGATTTCCCATCACCATATCACACTTCACAAATGTGAGGAGACATCTACTAGCGATCATGAACTGAGCTCCCATCATGTAGTTTATTCAAGAGCATGCCCACATTTGAACGCTGAAAAGAATTAAGGTTTCTTGGCTTTTACCCTCACCAACCTCTCCACCCAACCTATACCACAATGGACGTTGAGACATGACAGCCAGGAATACACTCCAGGGGCTGAAAACTGATGCAGAAGTTAATTAAGTGTGTTCCTTTCCCTAAGTACCTGTAAAGAAGAGTCCATATTCAGAGTGCTCAGCATCATATTCTGACCTGGTAAAGGCAGTTTTGCCAGTTCACACATTAAAACAGAACATGGAAATGGTGCCCCCTGAAGGCACATCCAAGCCTATATGGGGGAAGAGGAATGATTTGGCCAGGTTTCTTTTAAAAAAACAAAAGCAAAGTCTTCTGAGCTCAAGTTAGTTATCTTACTTTGAGCCACGAGCAGCTTCTTCACTTTCAGTTGCAAATCAGACCCCCCCCCCCCCCCAATATTACCATTTAAAGGAAAAGAAGGGACAGGTACACGCACGCCAATAGCAAAACCACAAATTATCATTTTGTCATTTACTTTATTGCAGGTTTGGAGGACAGCCGTGTTGGTCTTCAGTAGAACAGCTAGATTCGAAGGTGCCCACTGGATTCAAATCTATCCTCAACCATCACCCTGTGAGGCAGGTTAGGCTGAGAGTGCATGACTGGCCCAAGGTCACACAAGCAAGCTTTCAGGGGCAGAGTGGGGATCTAAACCTGGGTCTCCCAGATCCTTCTTTGGCGCTGAAAACACTACCCCGGCTCTCAAAGAATGACTGGGCTATAGTCATACTTGACAATTAAACCTGCATTTGCATTGACAATGTCTTTTTAACAATGATTCTCTCCTGCCTTCTACCCTTTACATACAAAGCCCAAGCATCACTTTTCTGGGCCTAGTACAAACTGGAAATATGCCCCCCACCTCATTCTGGTCTCACCCACTACAATCTCATGAAAGAAAAATGCCTATTTTTATTTCCAAATTGTCATCAACCATTATATCACAGGAATGGGCATGCAGTTTGGACTGGACCCCCGAGGGGAGTGTACAATATTCCATCATTGCTTTGTTCTGTATATGCAAATAAGTCACCTGCAGAATAGTGAAACACACTGAGTGTGTTGTGGTTAGAACGTGTGGCTACACTCTGGAGACCTAAGTTCCTGGCAAGGGGCCAGGGCTCAATGATAGAGCACCTGCTTTGCACACTCCAAGTTCACTCCCTGGCATCTCCCACTAAAAGGACTGTGTAGCGCATGATATGAAAAACCTCTGAGACCCTGGAGAAATACTGCCAGTCAGAGTAGACAGTCCTGACTTCGACAGACCAAGGGTCTTACTCTGTATAAATGCAGCTTCATATGTTTGAACCCCCAGTTTGCCATGAAGTTTGCTGGATGACTTTGGACCAGTCACTCGCTTTTCGTTAGCCTCGCCTATTTCACAGGTTTGTCAAGAGGATTAAATAGGGAAGCGAGAACACACTTGTCATTCTGAGTTTCTTGAAGGAAAGGCGGGATTTAAAAATGCAGCAGATAGATTTTAATCTCTCATGAGAAAGTGCCCCAAGACAGCCAGCATACCCTCCAACATTTCACAAAAGAAAACAGGGACAACACTTGGAACACACCAGTTCTTATATGGAGGATTCACTGCTCGCAGATTTCAGATTTTTCTGCAAGCCTGGTGTTTTTCTCTGGTTTGTGGAAATATCTGTCATTCTGGTCATGACCCCAAGTCTCTGGATTTAAGTACCAGATATATTGATGAGGCTTTTCTAACATATCATTAACTTGAAGAACAATCTCTGCATTTAGATTAGCGGAGGAGGGGCAACAATGGCATAAATAAATACACATAGCAGGAGTCTTCATTGATATGTAATCTTTAAAGGGAGTGTGGCTTCCTTCAGTAATGATCCTTTATACGTGAATAATTGGGGGGGGGTTTTAAATGATAGAAGCAGGACCTGTAGCTTTAAGAAACAAATGCCCACAGTGGCCATTGCTAAGCAACAACAACAGCACTGCCAAACTTCAAGCCTTGGTTTCTGTGAGTAAAAGGCAGGGCTATTTTGGCCTTTGGGGGAGGACTCACTGGGGCCAGACCCAGCAGCAACCACTGGGCAACTTGCTACCATGTGCCTTGTATGACTTATCCAGGCCTGACTGCTTGCTACTGTTGAACAGCTGTAATCCTACGAAGCCAGCACATTGTAGCAGTTACAGTTTTAAATAAGGACCTAGGAGACCCAGGTTTGAATCCCCATTCTGCCATGGAAGCTGATTAGGAGACCTTAGGCCAGTCATATGTTCTCAGGGATATTATAAGGATAAAATGGAGAAGAGGAGAAGGGTGTAAGCTGCTTTGGGTCCTTATGGGGAGAAGGAAAGGGTATAAATGAAATAAATAAGTAACAAATATAGCTGAAGATGGAGGGCAGACAAAAGGTAGGCTGGTGGGTGGGAGGGAGGGAGGGAGTGAAGCAGAAAAGGGGAAGACAAATGGGGCTTTCAGGGATGGGAAAGAAAACATGGTGGGGAGGGTACAATGAGATGTCCCCTGCAAGTTGCAGGTGGGGTTCATGGCTTGTAACTATCCTAAGACACATTACTAAAATATATCTCACAAGCTGCGGGATGTGAAATGGCAGTTTGTGCATAGCATGATACCTGAGTGGGCATGCACATGAATTTGTACACATACACACTAGAGACAAATTGCATAGGGGAGAGAATTGAATCCTGAAAAAAATGACATCTCTCTGGTTCCTGGGGAATCAGCAAATACCAATTTACACAGGGGTCTACATTCGGACATCACCGCAGAAGGGTTTCGGAAGCCTTCAATTACAGTCTGGATGCTGGGGAGAACAGAAATGTGCCAGCACTGCAAACAAACCATGTTTGTGCCCCTCAGGAGACTTTTTTCTGTCACCTGTGTGTGTGGTACAGAGAAAAAAACCTCCGATACTTTAATGAGCCTATTAAGGTCTAGAATAAAGCTAATAGATTATAAGAGATTGGACTATGAATCCAAAAGATCCTGGTTCAAATCTTGCCTCTGCCATG